ATCTAACTTATAATATTTAATTTCGGTCTTATGCAAAGAAGATAATAAAGAAAATACTAAAATTATTATTCACTATCTGATCTTAATAGTGGTGAATACTCACCTACAACCAGTGTTGGCATTGGACATGTGTCTAATGATTTTGAAAATGATTGGATATATGAAATTTTATATGTTCAATATTTTTTTAAATTATTAGACATATGTCCAATGCCAATACTGCCTACAACACTATTTGATATGAGAAATAGTAAATAACTAAACAATGCTAATATTGAATTTTTCATTAAAGAAGAGATAGTTAGAAGCAGTGTTTAACATTAGATTTATCTTCTCAAAGGATTTATTTGATGTCCTCAAATAGAGTATAGCATCTTGGAAAACACTAAGAACATCAAACCTTAAACGCTAGTAATATGAATTAAGAGGTAAATCATGGTTGAGTATATCACAAAATATTGGAATTTTTTTTTTTGTAAACTATATGACTTTTTACTCTCAGTATTCCATCACTATACTGTATGAAAGTAATAATTTTTAGCTGATTTTTATTGGGTTTATACCCTTTGGCTATGATTTACTCCTTAATATTTTTGAACAATAAAGATCCTTTTAAAAAATAATACACCTAGATCATCTTTATAAGTTGTAGAATATTGGTAAACTATTTTTAACCGACTTGTGAAAAATAGAATTAGTATTTAGTCCCTTATAAAAATTATATAGAATTAGTTTGCTTTTCAAAATTTAAAATTGACAGCAAGAAAAAGAAGTTAATTAATTATCCAAGCATATAATTCTATTATACTGGTTATACTGTACTATATATATATATATTATAAAATATGTGTGCTCAGTATTACATATTGAAAATATATACTGAAAGCAGATTTTTTTGATGCGATTATTATATAGATTATATAGATATAAATATCGATATGAATTAACACCATCTTAATTGATCTACGATGCTATATAAAAAAAAGATGATTCTTTTAAATATTTTGGTTTTAATGTTTTTAAATAGGGAATGTATTTATTGAGAACACTAAATTTTAAATGTCAGTTATGTCTTAAAAAAACTGCTATCATATTTATAAACACTAAACACTACACTACGATTTTATCTATATACAAAAAGTAAATGCATTCATATTTTGGCTAATACGATATATAGTTTGAACTAGCCGGGTAGAGAAGATGAGATGGCTAGTGCTAGCACTAGTTTTTTTTTTAAAGTTAACTGTATATTGTCATAATTGAATCGTACAAGAATGTGTAACAAATATAAAAAATTTTTTTTTCTAATTTATATACCATATCAGGCATATACAAGTTTTTAATTTGAAATACTATAAAATATCAAAAAGCGTAACAAGAAAAAAACTTGAAGGAATGATAAATCATAGCTATCTACATAATAACTTAGTTTTTTAGAAAAGCAAAAATGGAAACTATAACTATACAATCATAAATTTAGGCGTATTTCTTTTAAAACCTAATCTTAAATATACACAACATTCAGGATTATATCCTATTTCTAACAACTATAAAGTTGAAGTTTTTTGGGGGTGTAAAAAGAAAAATCATATTCAAGTATCTATTGATTATGTCAAAAAAATTTCAAATTTTACAATTGAATGAATGTATAACAAACAAGAATATGCTGTAGTTTCACAAACTTCGTCTTCGGATACAACTAACAAATATTGTAATGTAAGATTTATACGTAGATTTTATTATTTATATATATCAATTTATAAATTAATAAATTTTTTTCCCTTTTTTTAAGATTCAATATCCAGGAAGAAAAACCACATTTTCTGGAATACTTGTATTTGGACTACAAATATATGAAAAGATAACTAAAACTATACTAAAGAAAAATTATCCATGATGTGTTAAACCTCTTAGTGATCTTAGCAATTATTCACATAGAAATAGAACTAAAAGAGTGGCAAAAAGTTTATTTAATGATTTCGAATCAAAAAAAAATAAAATTTGAAATCCGAAAGATAATCCTAAGCTTAAAGAAATAGTAATAGAGGCAGATAAACAGCTATAGTTAATAAAGTTTGATGAGGATCAACAATTAGAAAAAAATAAGGCACAAAAAATAGTTCAAACAATGGATTATTCAAATGTTTCATAAAAAGGATATAGAGCACTGACAATCACTTCATATGATTTATCGAAAGAATAATTAGTTAGTAGAGAAAAGCATAAGATTGACAAAATAATGCAAAAGCATATTCCATTATTAGAATTTGGCATAAAGACGCAAATGCAAGATAACAATTCAAATGATTCTGATGAATCTAATGATTCAGATGATTCGGACAAATTGGATGAATCAGATGATTTAGATAATGAAAAGGTTACAAATATATTAGAAAAGGGTGACTACCATAATATATCTACAATTCTTTAATTTCTTATACCAAGACTTGTTACAAAGCAAGTTCTTAATTATGAAACTCCTATAATATACTTGCGGATATCAGGTGATGGAAGAAATGTCGAAAGAAAAATAAAGCATGTAATGATGACATTAGCAGTTTTAAATAATCAAGAAAATATTATGAAACCTGAAAATCACTATATGATTTCTCTGTTTTCTGGAACAGAAAAGTATACATCTCTTAAAACTGCTTTAGAACCAATTCGTTATGAATTGCAAATTTTGTGTAACTATGGTTTTACTGATAATTACAAACGATGATGAGATATTAAAGTTTTTTTTTGTCAGATTGGAAATTTTTGGCAATAATTTTAGGATTTAATGCACCTAATGCATTTAACTTCTGTCCTTGATGTCTTTGTACAAAGGATTTGATAGGTGATTTAAGCCAAAATTGGCAAATAACAAAAGAAATGAGTCAAATTAAAAAAAATCATTAAAGTTACCTGGGTCATATTCATCCACCTATATTAGACATGATTCCTATGACCAATTACGTTGTAGACCAACTTCATTTAATGTTGCAATTAACTAATCGCCTGTGGGAATTGGCTTTAAATAAATGCAAGAATAACAGACACTTTGTAGATGAAATAAGAGATTTAATATATGAAGAATTGAGAAACATCAGGGTAAAGTTTAATTTCTGGAAAGACAAGAAAACAAAATTTTAGAAATTTACTTCGTTAATGGGCCCAAACAAGTTAAAAATCATAGAAAATTTTAATCTAAATATAATATTACCACTAACACGTACTACTAAAGTTCAAAAACTCTGGTTAGGATTTTATAAGCTTTATAAAATATTAAGTCAAGATAAATTATCAGGAAAT